TTCAAGGGAAGAAGTTTAAGAAAATAACTCACAACTTTAATAATCAACAAGCTTCAAGAGCAACACCAAGAAAGGGAAGTTTAGCTCCTCATTTGGAGACTAAACATGCTATAAAATATAAGAACTGCTATTCTAAACTGAGCTTAGGAGTATAGAAGAAGGGATATCTTTTAGAGAAGAAAAAGAGTGCTATTTATAGGTGTTTTTCAACACCTTTGGCCGGGTACCTGACTGGGTCAAGTACTTACCCGACCGGGTCTGGTCAAAATCAGATAATCCACCACGTTCTGGTGATTTTCGCACGTCGGGTTGTCCCCGGTCACTTCTCACCCGACCGGGTGAGGTATAGGGCCTGACCGGGTCTAGCTCTTTCCTCAGCAGTTCGGTTTTCAAATCAGATCCGACCGGGTGAAGTTTTCTACCCGGTCGGGTATTTGCTCCTGGACAGCCAAAATTCCTTTTTCTTCACTTCAAAGTCCTCCTTTTCAACACCCTAATTCCTAATTCTACTTTACAACTTACAAATGAGAACTAAAATATAATTACAACTAAAATCACACAAATGTTTACATACTAAATAAAAACGTCAAACAATCATCATCAATCAAACATAAAAACATATAATTATGCACTACTAATTAGTGTGCATCAAACACCCCCACACTTAAACCTTTACTCGTCTCGAGTAAATCAAATCCCATCCAAGAAGTCCTTTTAAAATGACAAGAATATCAACGCAAAACATCCAAGAGTGTTTTTACAGATACAAAGTAATCACAAAGCATCCCAAAAGTAAATAGAGTGAAACGGGGTCTTCAACTTCATCTTTATCTCCATTTCTCTTTTAAGCTTATCACCTTCAGGATCCTGCAAAATAGACATTTCTCTAATTCTCTCGTTTTGCCTAGGTGCCCTTTCAGGTTTTCATCCCAGCTTCCCACATTTTTCTTTTAATTCCCACAACCTCACTCTTTATTTTATTGCTTTAATTTTTGCGTGAGTTGCCCTTTGTGGATTTTCAACTCAACAAGTTTTTTTTTTGAAACAAAATGAAAAGAGTAGGATTGTGAGCATACCAGAACAATCTCTGCACCCCCACACTTAGTATCTGGCACTGTCCCTAGTGTCCGCCCATACCTCCACCTTGATGTATGTCCTCATCCATGTGATCCCCGCCATAACCACCATCATCGCCTCCACCACCGGAACTTGATCCTCCAAAGTAACCCCACTGAGAGGGGTCATACCATGACGGTGCGGGAGGGAGAGTGGTCATAGAGGAAAATGAGCCCTGGTGTGCTACATAAGAGTATATCAGACCAAAGGTTCACCTTTGGTCCTCTTCATATCTCCGCCAATCTTCTTGTCGTTGTTCCTCTATCCTCTCAAAGCTATGCCTCTGCTCAGTTCTATACTGATCAACTCGCTCCTGAAGTACGATGTAGTTGTTGTTGATCATGTTCATGTTATCGAGCACCTGTTGCTCGAATGGTGAGTATTGGTAGGCTGGAGCATCAGGTTGTTGTTGTGGTGGATTGGGTATGAAGGGCGGGTTTTCTTCAGCATGTCCTTGGTTGGGCTCATCTTGTGCATAGTGTGCCGGGATCGCCCCGGGGAGATAGTAGTGATGACCATCACCGATTTCATGGCCCACGATATCTAGGGGGACGTGAGAGGATGGGATATGGATAGATATGTTTTGACGTGGGATAATAAGCCAGTTGTAGATTGGTGTCCCAGTAGGTGTCATGTGAGATAGAATACAATCTTTGGTCTTTTGGACAAGCCATGACGTGCAAATGAGTTGTTTAGGAGTAATGGGGCATGAGTCTACAAAACCATATAAAGTGGCTAGGTGTGTGATTAGGCCCCCTATCACAATTTATCCTGATTACGTTGCCACATTTTTTAAATGAGTCCATAAGATGGAGGCAACGTCAACTGGTTCTGGTCCAGGTAAAACAGCTTGTGCCAGAACACACACATCCCACATTCTTGTGTGATGATTATTCGGTCTTCCGAGGAAACAATTTGAATAGAATTTTAAGAAAATTCGGAAGACTGGATGTTGCACACAGTTCACACTCAGGTTAGAAAGGACCACCCCATCTTATCCTGTCATTCTTTTTCATAACTCATACCCCACAAGAGTATCATAAACACGAGCTTCATCAAATAAAGGGAGGCCAAAATGATGTGCAAATTCTCTTTTGGTTAATGAACGATTTTCATTGACGAAGTGCTGCCGAGTTCTAGAGAGATAAAGCATTTTCGAGTTCTTCAAGTTTTCTTCAAGTTTTGCAAATTAGACTTTGCTAACATTTTTATTAACTTAAAAACTTTGATACTTTCTTATAAAACATCTCTCGATTCCATAAAATTCTTAGAATTTTTTTACTCGTACACATAATCAGTACACAACATGTATGCAAGCCCCCATTGTTGTCTGTGTACACACACAATTCGTTTGAAAAAGGACAAAATTTTATGCCAAATGCCTGTGTACACATGCAATACACAATTTGTGTACACATTTTGTTTACACAATTTGTCTCAAAAATATTTTCTCATTTCTCTTTTTGGAAAGTTTTTATATGAAATACTCATTTATGTTTTTCTTACTCAATCACAAACATACTTTTTCATTTTATTGTCATTTTCTAGAACTCCGATCTAAGTTAAACTCGGAAGAAATTTCTTACTTTATAATACTTGTGATTAAAGTTCACATCCAATTTCTTTTTCAAAAAAAGGATGACATCCCATCCCTGAGGGCCTCCAACCCGACCGGACGGTACGTTGGAGGATGTAAATTGGACTATAATCCCAATCTGACCCATCCCTGAGGGTCCTCAACCCCGATCGGACGGTACGTTGGGAGGATGTAAATTGAACTATAATCCCAATCTGACAGATAGAGAGTGAGGCTGTGTCCTCGGTACTTGCAGAGAACCTATGCATATTTTAGTATAGTATGTTAGATTATTGGACTTATACTACATGTAATATTCACAATATATTATTTATCGGGTTTAATTGTAAGTTATATGCTATCTTATATTTAGGCCCAAAAATTAGTGGTCCTATGGATATTAATTTAAGTGGGCTAATAAGTTATCTAATAAGGTATAGGGCCCAAATGTGTAGAGACCCATGGGCTTGACCTAATCAATGATGGGCTGATTAGGGTTAAGCACTCTATAAATAAGGGGTTATGGTCCCTAGTTGTACACGTCATTCTGTCTTTCTGCATCCCATCGCTAGAGAGATAATCCCGAGGGTGTGTATCAACTAGAAGACACAAACCCTAGCCTCCGTCTCCCGGATCTCTAAAGGCCATCTCCCATGGAGTCAGGTACGCTTCCGCTCAGTTAATTCTCCAGATAATTTCAATATGAAGATTAAAGTATTCATGGATTTATTCCAACAATTGGTATCAGAGCCTCCTTCATATTGAATTATTTGGAATCAGTATCATAGATCCAGATATTTCTAGATCTTGATCTATCGTTATATAATTATGTATAATTAAATGATGTCGCTATTGGAATTTAATCGTACAATTGATGTCAGATTAGTAGACATCATAAATTATATCGTATTATCGTATATGATTCAATTTTTTGCATATGATGATGGTCGATCGATTTTTTGCGTACAATACAATGATCAATTTAATATCAAATCAATTAAGGATCAAAGTGTGGTTTTGAATTGTCAGTCCACTAGGCAATCATTCTGAATTGAGGATCAAAGTATGTTTTTTTTGAATTTTGTATCTACAGACTTATGCTGTTTTGAGTATTGAATTTGGATATGAATTCAATTTTTTGTATTGGCCGTAATGCGGCTGCTACAAAACCTAGGGAAGGAATAACTTTCCTAATCACTATTCGCTGGAACGTTTTAGGATGCATGGGCTTTGTAATGGTTTTAGTTCTTCGGTAATTTAAGAAGTTGCGGAATATTATATGTTTAACCACAATAATTAAATCATATGACTTTGATAATTAAGTACATATATGTAATTATTATCAGTTTTGGTAATTAAATACTTATATGTAATTACGGCCAATATCAGTTTTATTAAAAATGCATGATTTTGCATTACCGGAATATATTATTTTTGGTCGTTGTAATTTGTGGCTTGAAAAATATGTATTGTGTGTTATGGGATGTATAAACCCCATTTTGTGATCGCACATCAATTGGGTATGGGTTTTACAAATTATCGTTATACATAATACATTTGCATGTGATTCAGAAAAATTTTCCCAAATTTTATTTTTCAGATTTTCGAGTTAATATTAGCATGTCTAATATTTGAGTTAGTTAATTGATACAACATGCTGCCAAAGTAGCCTCTCTTGTTGAAATTAATTAACTCATATATTAAGATGATTGTGTACTTTCTTATTTCATGCGGATAATAATCGGCCCAAAGGAAGGTTATTATTTGGCCGAAATTTAAGTACATTTGTGATAATAAAATTTGTGATGATTATGAAGTTTTTCGTGTGAATATTAAGTCGGTCCAAAGAAAGGCTTAGTATTTGACATGATTTTATTATCAAAATTTTATTATTACGCCAAGAGTACCATTTACAAGTCTAATTTATGTCCAAAGACAAGATTAGATGTTGCGTTAGGTATCTTGTGATGGGGATTGCTAATATTTAAATTCAAAATTAATTATCAAATTAATTTCAGTACATAGAGCATATCATTTATATTTTTTTTTTGTTCTCTTTAAGTCAATAATTCTGCTGCTACAATATCTGCTAATATTAATAGCATTCCAGTGCTTAACGGCACGAATTTTAAGGAATGGAAAGAGAACGTTATGATCGTTCTCGGCTGCATGGATCTAGACCTTGCACTTCGGACTGAGAAACCCGCCGCTCTTAAGGACACATCTACCCTTGATGAAAAGAGGGAGATGGAGAGGTGGGAACACTCAAACCGCATGAGTCTAATGATCATGAAACGTGCAATTCCAGAATCATTCAGGGGCACAATGGCTGATGAGGCTGATGCCAAATCGTTCCTTGCCGAACTTGAAAAGCGTTTTGCTAAAAACGAAAAGGCGGAAACTAGTACTCTTTTAAGCACTCTTGTTTCCATGAAGTATAAAGGCAAAGGCAACATAAGGGAGTACATTTTGGAAATGTCTCACATTGCTTCAAAACTAAGTGCACTAAAGCTTATTTTACCTGAGGAATTGCTTGTGTATTTAGTTTTGATCTCTCTTCCTTCTCAATTTAATCAATTTAAAGTCAGTTACAACTGCATTAAGGAGAAATGGTCTCTCAATGAGCTCATTTCTCATTGTGTTCAAGAGGAAGAGAGAATAAAGCAAGATAAGACAGAAAGTGCTCATTTGGCATCTACCTCTAAGGGCAGCAATAAAAGAAAAATTAAGGAAGCTGCAAATTCGGGGCCTCCCAGGAAGCATCACAAGGAAACTAAGGAAGAAACTAAGGAATCTGGATGCTTCTTTTGCAAAGGGACTAATCACAAGAAAAAGAACTGCACTAAGTACCATGTTTGGCGTGCGAAAAAGGGTATGTCTCTTGCTCTTGTTTGTTCTGAGGTTAATTTAATTTCGGTACCAAAAGACACTTGGTGGGTAGATTCCGGTGCTACTACTCACATAAGTGTATCTATGCAGGGTTGCCTGAGCTGCCGAAAACCAATTGATGGTGAAAGATACATCTATGTCGGTGATGGCAAGCGGGTTGAAGTTGAGGCTATCGGTGTTTTTAGATTATTATTAAAGACTGGTTTTTATTTGGATTTGAAAGAGACATTTGTTGTGCCGTCATTTAGGCGGAATTTAATTTCTATTTCTGCATTGGACAAATTTGGTTATTCTTGTTCATTTGGAAATAGTCAGTTCAGTCTATTTCAAGATTCAAAACTTATTGGTACTGGTCTTTTATCAGTTTATGATAATCTATATTCACTTGATATAAATACCTCATATAATGAAACCTTGCATGTAAGTACTCGTGGTACTAAAAGAAAATTAACCAATGAGAATTCATTTTCACTTTGGCACAAACGTCTAGGACATATTTCTAAAGAAAGAATTCAGAGACTTGTGTCAGATGGAATTCTTGATTCTCTTGACTCCTCAAATTCTGATATTTGTGTTGAGTGCGTTAAGGGAAAACAAACGAACAAACGGAGGTTAGGTGATGAGAGAGCTTCAGATCTATTAGAATTGATATATACGGACATTTGTGGACCATTCCCTACACCATGTAGAAATGGCCAAACATATTTTATCACATTCATAGATGATTACTCTCGTTATGGTTACCTTTATCTCATTCATGAAAAGTCCCAATCAATAGACGTGTTCAAATCTTATAAGGCCGAAGTTGAAAATCAATTAGGCAAAAGAATAAAAACCGTTAGATCTGACCGTGGTGGTGAATACTATGGTAGATATGATGGTTCCGGTGAACAACGTCCAGGGCCATTTGCTAAATACCTAGAGGAGTGTGGAATTGTTCCTCAGTACACCATGCCAGGAACTCCTAGCATGAATGGTGTTGCTGAGAGACGAAACCGTACATTGAAGGACATGGTTAGGAGTATGATTTGTCATACTACTTTACCCGATTCACTCTGGGGAGAGGCACTGAAAACTGCAGCTTACATACTTAACAGAGTTCCCACTAAAGCTACAACTAAAACCCCTTATGAAATTTGGACTGGAAAGAAACCCAGTATAAATCATTTCCATGTTTGGGGTTGTCCAGCTGAGGCAAGGCCTTATAGGCCAAATGAAAAGAAACTGGACTCAAGAACAGTTAGTAGCTATTTTGTAGGATACTCTGAGAGGTCAAGGGGGTATAAATTTTATGATCCCACTACCAGGACTATTTTTGAGACGGGTAATGCCCGGTTCTTTGAGGATATTGAGTTTGGGGGTGGGGAGATAAGGTTAGAGATTTTGTCTTTGAGGAAGAACATGTTACTCTTCCTTCAGTTGTCATTGAACATGATCAAGATATGTTTATTCCTAATGATGTTCAAGAAACAACTCCAGTTCATGACAATCTCGAAAACATCCCCAATCAAGTACCTGAATTTGTTAATGAGGATCAAACTCAACAACCTCAAGAATCTGAGGTGCCATTAAGGAGATCCACTCGAGAGAGGAGAAGCGCAATTCCGGATGATTATATTGTATTTCTCCTAGAACATGAGGAAAATTGGGAATTGGTGGAAGAAATAATTATCTTCCTCCAAGAACAAGAATCAGATGTTGGTTTTGCGGAAGATGATCCAATCAACTTTCGTCAAGCCATGGAAAGTTCTAACTCTCAAGAATGGATTAATGCCATGAAAGATGAGATGAAGTCTATGAGTGACAATGACGTTTGGGAGTTAGTCTCATTGCCTGAAGGTATTAAACCCATTGGTTGTAAATGGATATTTAAAATCAAGAGGGATTCAAAGGGCAATGTTACAAGGTTTAAAGCTCGTCTTGTTGCTAAAGGCTACACTCAAAAGAAAGGAATTGACTATAAAGAGACTTTCTCTCCGGTATCCTCGAAAGACTCTTTTAGAACAATAATGGCATTAGTGGCACATTTTGATCTTGAGCTTCATCAGATGGATGTAAAAACTGCGTTTCTCAATGGTGACATTGAGGAATCAATCTATATGGAGCAACCAGAAAACTTTGTTTCGGGAGATTCAAAGAAAATGGTTTGCAAATTAAAGAAATCCATCTATGGGCTCAAACAGGCTTCTCGTCAGTGGTATCACAAGTTTCATAAAGTCATTATATCTTTTGGTTTTCAACCAAACGTCAGTGATGATTGTATATACCACAAGTTCAGTGGGAGTAAGCATATTTTCCTGGTCTTGTATGTTGATGACATACTGCTTGCTACTAACGATATAGGCTTATTACACGAAACTAAGAGATTTCTTTCAAAGAATTTTGAAACGAAAGATCTTGGTGAGGCTTCTTTTGTATTAGGAATTCAAATTCACCGAGATCGCTCCAAAGGCGTTCTTGGACTCTCACAAAAGAGCTATATCGATAAGGTTCTCAAAAGGTTTGGTATGCAAGACTGCAAACCAGGAGATACCCCAGTTTCTAAGGGAGACAAGTTTAGTCTCATGCAGTGCCCTAAGAATGGTTTTGAATCTAAAGAAATGAGGAACATTCCTTATGCTTCGGCTGTAGGAAGTTTGATGTATGCCCAGGTTTGTACAAGGCCTGATTTGGCATACATTGTTGGGATGTTAGGCAGATATTTGAGCAATCCGGGATTGGACCATTGGAAAGCAGCCAAAAGGGTCATGCGGTATTTACAGAGAACAAAGGAATATATGCTCACATATCGGAGATCGGATCAGCTTGAGATCATTGGGTATACCGACTCTGATTTTGCTGGATGTCAAGATAGCTTGAGATCCACTTCAGACTACATCTACATTCTAGCTGGAGGAGCTATCTCCTGGAGGAGTATCAAGCAGACTCTTACAGCTACTTCCACCATGGAAGCAGAGTTTATAGCATGTTATGAGGCATCCAATCAGGCATTATGGCTGCGAGATTTTGTTAGTGGACTACGCATAGTGGACAGCATTGAAAGACCACTTAAGCTATTGTGTGACAATAGATCAGCAGTCCTTTATGCTAAGAACAACAGTAGTTTGACCAAGGCAAAACACATCGGGGTCAAATTTAAGGCTGTTAAGGAACGAGTACAAGAAGGAAAGTTATCTATAGAGCACATTAGCACAAACTCCATGATTGCGGATCCGCTCACTAAAGGATTACCACCCAAATTGTTTCATGAGCATGTTGCTCAAATGGGTGTCAAATCAGTTGAGGATTATGAGTTTTAGTGGGAGTTTGTAATGTTTCTATGTTTGGTTAACTCAAGTTTTAATGTTATTTTCTGCAGAAATAAAGTTTAAAGTTTTATGTACTCTTACAGTTATATTATTGATCTCAGGGTGGACCAGTTGGAAATAGACATTCTATTCCAGACCACACTATATGTTATTTCCACGCTACACACCTATACTTGATCCATGTCGTTTATTATATTAATATATGTGATCATTGATGGGTCTAGTTATTCAAATATAGCAAAGACTTCTGTGGTCCTATGTTGATATAATTAATGGACCGGATTGATTAAGGATGACTACAGTTTGATAGCAAAAATTTGGAGCTTCTAAAGTAAACATACAATTCTAAGGATTGTGTATACATGTGTATGTCGTCCAAGTGGGAGATTGTTAGATTATTGGACTTATACTACATGTAATATTCACAATATATTATTTATCGGGTTTAATTGTAAGTTATATGCTATCTTATATTTAGGCCCAAAAATTAGTGGTCCTATGGATATTAATTTAAGTGGGCTAATAAGTTATCTAATAAGGTATAGGGCCCAAATGTGTAGAGACCCATGGGCTTGACCTAATCAATGATGGGCTGATTAGGGTTAAGCACTCTATAAATAAGGGGTTATGGTCCCTAGTTGTACACGCCATTCTGTCTTTCTGCATCCCATCGCTAGAGAGATAATCCCGAGGGTGTGTATCAACTAGAAGACACAAACCCTAGCCTCCGTCTCCCGGATCTCTAAAGGCCATCTCCCATGGAGTCAGGTACGCTTCCGCTCAGTTAATTCTCCAGATAATTTCAATATGAAGATTAAAGTATTCATGGATTTATTCCAACATAGTAAACCCTCATCCTAGTTATCGGGATTCGAACCCGGGACACCCTTGTGTCACTCCCTCTCTACAGGTTGAGGTACGCCCGATCCAATCCAATTTCTTTTTCAAGCACACGTTCTACTTTTTTTTTCTTTATCTACGGTGCAATTCGAAATTGATAGTAGGTAATACGGAGTGGTAAAACTTTTTTGTCTTTAAAGTAGTGAGGTAACGAAACCAAGAGAGCAAGAAAGAGAAGGGAGATATAGACAAGACAACAGAGAGAGGAGAGGAGAGGAGAGAGGGCCACTTATGTTGCCTTTTTTCTATGATTCACGCATCCGTGGCAGAACAGATGAGGGTACACAGTACTGTTCCTGCAACACAAGTGACTGAAAGAGGGATGGGGAGGTACTCTGGGTCAAGGGTGGCTTAGCTAGCCAAAGCTCAGCCAGCCAGCCCTTCAGCCCCCTAGGGAGTAGTGTAATTTTTCACACAGTAAAGTGGGGCAGAGAAAAAGAGAGAACCAGACAGAGACGATAGAGATTGCAGAGAGAGAGAGAGAGAGAGAAGAAGCAGCTAAAGAAGGGTACTTACTGTTGGGATGCTTGTGCATAGGTTTGGGGTTGCAGATATGGAGCTGAAATGGTAATAATAATATGGTTGGCTTCCCAGGGAAGGACAGTCGAAGAAGAACCCCTTTCTCGCCAAATCTTGATTTTCAAAGGCAAGCCCCTTTAATTACACCTTTTTTCTCTATATAAATTTATAATGGATCTTGAGGTTTTTCTCTGTATCAACTGTTTTGCTGCTAATTTCTTACCCAGTTTTTTATTTTATAAAGATGATAGGAATGCCACACAGTGGCGACTATAGCTTTCAGGGGAAAGGCGTTCTTGAGCCTTCTCGATTTGGGTTTTCAGAAGCTGGACCCAAATTGTTCAAGAAAGATGGGAGCTTTGTATCTTCAAACGAACCCATTTCTGTCCTGGACAAAAGGAGCCCAAGCCCCTCCACTTCCACGTCAGCTTCATCTTCCTCCTTCGGCGGCGCCACCACCCACAATACAACGACGGCTGTTCCCTCCGTCGCATCTTGGCCGAAGGAAGAGTGGGCGGATTTACAGCCTCTCCCGTCCGGCTTGGAGGTGGATGGAGGGTCTGAAAAAGTTGTTCTTGGGCTGGAAGATTGGGAGTCTCTCCTGTATGAGTCCGCTGGCGGGGTCTCCGACCACTCTCTTCTTCCCTGGGTTTCCGGCGAGTTCGAGGATCCGTCAAAAGAGATCCATGGGAATGTGGGCTTCGGAGGTAATTTCTCGAGTTCTTCCCTTTCCCCCATTTCCTGTTCCAGTCTTTCTTTTAATTCCCATTCCAACAATGCGAAATTTGCTCCTATAAGTTCTGGACTTGAAGTAAAGCTTCAAAACTTTAACTTTCATGCACCTATGGACCAAACCAAACCTTATGGTTGGATTCAAGAAGATTTTCCTCCGGCCAGGCGGACGAATATGGAACTCTTGAACCCCACAATGCCTTTGGTCAACACGGGTCAACCAGGTTTTCCGGAAATGCTTCCGGACCTGATGGGTTCAGGTTCAGGGCAGTTTTTGGGTTTCTCCTTGCCTCATCCACTGCTGGTTCCTAAGCAAGAGGTCAACCTAATGTTGCCAAACCAACTACAGCAGCATCAGAAACAGGTAGTGTATGACCAGGTGTATAAGGCGGCAGAGTTGATTCAATCGGGGGAATTCTCACTCGCGCAAATGATATTGGCGCGGCTCAATCACACCAACCTCTCTCAAGGTGGGAAACCATTGGAGAGGGCGGTTTCTTATTTCAAGGAGGCTTTACTTTTGCCACATTCTTGGACCTCCCTTCCTCCCCCCTTTGATTTCATCTTCAAGATGGGTGCCTACAAGGTCTTCTGTGAAGTCTCCCCACTTCTCCAATTCATGCATTTTACGTCCAACCAAACGCTCCTCGAAGCCGTTGGCGATGCGGGATATGTTCACGTCTTTGATTTTGACATTGGACTAGGTGCCCAATGGTCATCCTTCATGCAAGAGCTTCCTAGAAGGAATGGAGGAGCGCCTCCTTCAATGAAGATAACCGCTTTTGCCTCTCCTTCGACACACCACCCCATTGAGATCAACCTTATGCATGAAAGCTTGTCGCAATTTGCTAATGATGTTGGAGTGAGATTCGAGCTTGAGGTGGTCAACTTGGACACTTTTGACCCTAGCTCTTACACGCCTTCCTCTTTTCAGCAGTTCAACGGCGAGGTAATTGTCGTCAATTTCCCGATTTGGTCCCTTTCAGGCCATCTTCCCAATCTCCCAGCTGTTATTCATTATATAAAGAGGCTGTCTCCAAAAGTCGTAGTTTCGTTCGACAGGGGCTGTGAACGGGCCGAGCTCTCTGCCCCACACCACATACTGAATGCCTTGAAGTACTACGAGGTCCTCTTGGAGAGTAGTGCATCATGCGTTCCCTCGGTTGGCGAAAACAAGTTGGAGAGGTTCGTATTCCAGCCTGGCATTGAGCGCATTGTGCAAGGGCGGCTCCGTTTTCCCGACCCGATGCCACCGTGGAGAGCCTTGTTTGGTTCGGCTGGTTTTCTGCCCGTGACGTTCAGCGACTTTTCCGACACTCAAGCAGAGTGTGTGGTGAAGAGAAATGAAGGCAGAGGGTTTCATGTTGAAAAGAGACAGACAGCGCTTGTGTTGTGCTGGCAGGGCAAGGAGTTGTTGACAGCCATTTCCTGGAGGTGCTGATTGATGTTCAGTTTTAACTTAGTATGTTGTTTGGTGGTGGCTATTAATAAAAGGTTAAAACTTGTTTGTAACATTTTCTAGTTATGCGCATGGATTGAATATTCATGCTTGTTTGTAGTAGCTGCTGTTGTCTGTCTACTTAGAGCAGTGACTGTTGAGCGATATGCTTGATCAGCTATTTGGACATCTTTGCTTTGTTGTACTTATGTTGCCTACCAGTAGATCTTGTATGCGCATTTTCTCATGGCTATTGCGACAACCTTTATCATAATTTCTGTAAACAACATAAAAATTACGACACCTTCAACTAGAATCAAAACCCTAACAGTATGTCTAGCATTTTTCGATTCCATCAACAGGCCCAAAGTGTGACAAAAAACCGAACCCAATGACTCGCAAGAAGGTGAGGTCTTTCAAGTTTCAAGACCTGTGTGTCACCTAGGGATGGATTCGGTTCGGGCCACCCGGCCTGTGACCCGGCCCGGCCCGGTACTGTGCGGGCCCGGGACCGGCCCGGTCGGGCGGTCCGGGACCGGGTATGGACCCGAACCGATGGGAAGGGGCGGGGCGGGCTCGGTTCTGGATTATTGTGACCCGGCCCGCCCGGGTCGGGCCCGGGCCCGGGTCTGGGTCTATTTTTTTAATTTTTTTTTTTGGGCTACTACTCCTACTAGCCGTTGGGGCTGGGGCTGGGGACAACCCAAACGGCTATATAGCCGTTGGGTGGGGTAAAGGGGGGGTCCGGGGGGGTTGGCTGGTGGGTGGAGGGGGTGGGGGGTGGGGGGTAAAAAAACCTATAAATACTCCTAATCTTAAACATTTTTTCATCTCTTCTCCAATTCTTCCTAAATCCTATTCTTAATTCTCTATTCTCTAATTCTCTTATTCTCCATTCTCCAATATATTATATTTATTATTTATAGTTTATATTAATTATCTACTTATATAAACTATAAATAGATATAAATAGTATTATATTACTTATATTTGTTATCTAATTATATATTACTTATATATTTATTATATCTATTAATATAGTTGGAATTATATCTAATTAATTTGAAGTCATTATATTACTCTCATCCGAAAGACCGAAAGTCCGAAAGAGGTACGAAATTATTCTATTATTTACACTTGTTTAATTACTAGTTAGTTTGCTACATTTGACTCTTGTTTAATAGTTAGATAAATAGTTAATTAGTTTTTTACAATTTTTTATTAATTGCTACATTTGACTCTAGTTTAAAAAATATGTTGTACACAAAACTAGTTAATTCACTACTTAATTTGCTATAACTCGAATTAATAGTTAGATAAATAGTTACTTAGTTTTTTACAATTTTTTATTAATTGCTACATTTGACTCTAGTTTAAAAAATATGTTGTACACAAAACTAGTTAATTCACTACTTAATTTGCTATAACTCGAATTAATAGTTAAATAAATAGTTAATTAGTTTTTTACAATTTCTTATTAATTGCTACATTTGACTCTAGTTTAAAAAATATGTTGTACACAAAACTAGTTAATTCACTACTTAATTTGCTATAACTCGAATTAATAGTTAGATAAATAGTTAATTAGTTTTTTACAATTTTTTATTAATTGCTACATTTGACTCTAGTTTAAAAAATATGTTTTACACAAAACTAGTTAATTCACTACTTAATTTGCTATAACTCGAATTAATAGTTAGATAAATAGTTAATTAGTTTTTTACAATTTTTTATTAATGGCTACATTTGACTCTAGTTTAAAAAATATGTTGTACACAAAACTAGTTAATTCACTACTTAATTTGCTATAACTCGAATTAATAGTTAGATAAATAGTTAATTAGTTTTTTACAATTTTTTATTAATTGCTACATTTGACTCTAGTTTAAAAAATATGTTGTACACAAAACTAGTTACGTAAGGAGGGATGGGGATGCGATGACCGACGAACAACTAGAACAAGAATTGCACCGACATAATTCCCGCTTTTTTCAAGACCAACCGAGGACCATTGACGAAGAAGAGCTCGAGGACGAGGACGACGATGTGGAGGAAGCAATTCCGGAGAGCCACGACGACGAGGAGGAGGAGGGTGGCGGCAGCCATGACGCCGACCAAGCAGCCTCATCCCAAACAGGTACAAAAAAAAGTAAATCTGAATTAATGGCTAATAATTTTTCTAAGTGGAAGGACCCGAACACCGGGAATTGGACCGCAACTTGCAATTGGTGCAAGAAAAACTATAGCTTGGGGATTTCCGGCGGATACGGATCCGCCACAAGACACCTTAAGTCCAAACACCCGGTGGAGTATGCTAAATTAGGCGGCGGAACGGGGAAACAAACGCAAATATCGAGGTTTGCAAATAACCAACAAGCTTTTGGTAATTTCTCATACAATGATGCACAAAATTTGACAGGTATGGCTAACTTACTTGTTGAAGAAAATTTGCCTTATTTGTTTTCTGAAAGTCTTGCTTTTCGTGATTATGCACAAACTTGTTTAAATCCGCAATATAGAGGTTATAGTCGCAAAACGGTTAAGAAAGAAATTTCAAGGCTTTATGGTGCGGAAAAGGTAAGGTTACAAAATTATTTTGCAAACTTTGATGGACGTGTTACTGTATGTTGTGACATATGGGAGGATACTTATCATAATTTACATTATTTGGGTCTGACTGTACATTATATTGATAATGATTGGCATATGCATAAACGTGTTCTTGTTTTCCGTGAATTTAATGATCGTCACACCGCTGAACATATTTATATTTTGATTGAACGTATTTTAATTGAGTATAATTTAATTGATAAGGTGTTTGCTATTGGTTTTGATAATGCTACTAATGATACTGCTGCTATTCCTAGATTGCGTGAATTGTGTGGTTCTACTTCTTTGATGGGTAGATTTTTTCATCAACGATGTGCATGTCATGTTCTAAATTTATGTGTGCAAGATGGTCTAAAAGCGTTGGGAGCATCGTTGGAGGTAGTCAAGGGGGGGATTAGACGTATTTGGGGTAATGGACACCTTAGGAAAAAATGGCATGATTATTTGATAGAAAGAGGTGAGAGATGTGTGGCTTTTCCAAAAGATTTGTCTATTCGTTGGAATAGTACGTATAAGTTAATTGGAGTTCTTCTTAGATATAAACAACATTTTCCTGCTTTTATGAAACAATATGATAACTATATTATAAATTCGACTGAGATCGACACCTGTGAAAAAATTTGTAATGCTTTGATATATTTTAATAATGCAACTGAAACTTTTAGTCATGTTTATAAACATACCTCAAACCAATTTATTCGTGAAGCTGTTAATCTCGCCGGTGCTTTTTCAAATTTTGAGAATGCTGATTATGTGAGTTATTTTGCTGGTTTTATGAAGGAAAAGTTTTTAAAATATTATTCACATATTCCGCATATTTATGGTATTGCATTTGTTCTCGATCCTCGTTTTAGACTTGGTTCTTTAGAAGAATGTTTGAATTATTATTATGCTGCTTTTTTTGGTCCATTGCCAATGTATGAGGACAACCCAATTGATCCGAAAAAAGAATACAACGAGGTTAGTGATATATTTTATGCATTATTCAATGAGTTTCATGCACAATATGGCAATGCGCCCCCTCCCCCGACACAAACATCATCTAAAGGAAAATCAATTTTCAAATCTACGTTTGTCAATCTTATTAAAAAAACAAAATCAACTCCCGCTACACAACAAAGCACAATTAATGAGATTTCTTTGTATTTAACTTATGATGTTGATTTTGAAGAAGATGATGATTTTGACGTACTAAACTGGTGGAAGGGAAAAGAAAGAATGTTCCCGGTTTTAGCAAAGATGGCTAAGCAAGTGCTATCAATGCCGGTTTCAACGGTTGCCGTGTAACAAGAATTTAGTTCGGCCGACAATGTTCTAACACAAACCAGAACGAGGTTGAGCGCTGAATCTCTTGAGATGCTTATATGCTACCACGATTGGTTGAAAGCAGCACGTAGAGCTCAAGAAATTGACATCACTCCATCCCAACACTTTATGGATGAATCTACAACAGAGGGTGACTCTACCTATGCCGGAGATTCCGATTAAAAACAATTATAGTTCCTATTTAATTTTCAAATGTAGTTCCTATTTCATTTGAAATAAATGCACTTGAAGTTTGTTTTTTAATACTTGTATAAAACTATAAAGTATAAAATATAAATTAAAAAAATATATTTAACCGGCCCGGCCCGGCGGGTGGCCCGACCCGTGACCCGGGCGGGTGGCCCGGCCCGAACCGGACCCGTCCAACCCTCGGGCCGGTCCCGGGCCCACTATTCTTGAACCGGTGGCCCGACCCGAATCCATCCCTAGTGTCACCACGTTCGAATAATCGAATGTTCGTGAGGTTTCGTGCCTCAATAGCTGTCCTTTTTTATCAAGTCATGAGTTCTTGTTACCTAGGCATGGATTGGGCCCGGGTCGGTTCATAGCGGGCTTTTTTTTAAACTTGGGCCTAGAATCGGCTCAGGTTGATACCGGGTCCGGGCAAAACCGGGCCGGAGTATATTATTATTTTTTTGCTTTCTAATTAACCCTCGACCCCCCTCAGCCCTACCCCTCAAACCTCCCCAAAACACCCAGCCCTACCCAACAAAAAGAAAAAAAATCGAAAAAAAAGAATCAGGCCCGACCCTAACAGCCTGGGCCGGTTCAACAAAAATAGGGCCCGAGCCAGGCCCGCCAGGCCCACCCACACCGGGCTAAAGTCCGCAACCGGCCATCCGGTTCCGGTCCGGTCTGGGCCCGCAAAGTAGCGGGCCGGTTCGATCCACCCCTAGTGTTACCCATCACCCTATCACGAATTCATGAGTGGAGTCGGGTCACCATATCCGCACCTACTTATACATTGTACCTTAATTTTAATCTAATCTAAGATCAATCGAGGCTGGTCCTAAAATTTTATGAGTATGTAGTCATGTAGAACTAAGAGTCCCAATTCCCAAGATATTATATTAATGTATTACAAAAGTTTCATCGTAAAATACAAAAATTACACAAATTGATGTAAAATTCTCAATAAAAATGCTCTATATAATACTCCTTCGTCCCTCATTGTTTGTCCTAGTTTGACTTCACAAATTTTAAGAACATGAATTTGACTTGACACTGTAGTGACACTGTTTGATATAGTTTTGTTTACTAAATAAGGAAGTTGAAAAAGTAGGACAAACATTTTGGGACATCCGTTTTGGGAAAGTAAGACAAACATTTAGGAACAGATGTAGTATATACTTCGTAATTCATAAAGAGATCATAAATAGGTGTTTATGACGATGAAAATCACTATTCTCTCTATAATAATATAATTAATTGTTTTGTTTATATTGGACGAGATAGAGATACTTGGTGTGTATGATATAAATGAAATATTGCATACTGTATTATTCAAATTTCCCTTAGCAGTATGTCTAGCATATTCCCATTCCACCAATAGGCCCAAAGTGTGACAAAATAATAGGGGTGGACATTTCGGTTTTCGGATCGGTTTTCTTCATTTTCGGTTCGGTTTCGGTTTAATCGGTTTGATAAAAAATGTACCAAATACAAACCGATTAAGTTTCGGTTTGGTTTAGGTTTGATATGGTTCAGTTTGGTTTGAAGTTCGGTTTACAAAAGTATTAAGGTTTGGATTGAAAAAAAAAAATTAACTCAAAATAATGAACCAAGAAGCTATAGTAATGAACCAAATATAATGTTAAATATAAATTTGCAAACAGTAACAAAGCACACATGAACCAAAAATAATAAGCATGACACATTTGTAAACAACAACAACAACGAGAATGAATCAATTTATATATAAAGCCGAAACAAAACAAATCTGGTGCTTGTAAGTAATAAAACAAATCTGGAGTAGATAGTAGTAGTAGATAATAAATTATAGTTAAATACTATCTACTTAAAGCACTATAATTGTTATAGTTGCGAATGTAACTCTTGTAGTAAACTCTAATCCTGGACACTAAAATTAAAGAATTAAAGCTTCAAAAAGATTAACATCAATCAAATTAATGAGAGAAATCTTATATTTTGGTTTGGTTTAGTTTGGTGTAAGTTGGTTTTGATTTATTATTTTAAAAAAATAAGAAATTATTTCATTTTTAGATTAGTTCGGTTTTATGATTTCGGTTCGGTTTGGTTCAGTTTAATACGGGTTGGGAGGAATACTACCAAACTCAAACCAAATTGCAAATGGTTCGATTTCGATTTGGTTTAATTCGGTTTGGTACGGTTCGGTTCGGTTAGGTCAAACCGAACCGTTGTGCCCACCCCTACAAAATATCATACCCATTGACTCTTAAGAAGGTGAGATATTTCCAAACCTATGTGTCACCACAGTCAAATGTTCGTGAGGTTTCTTGCGTCGATATCTAACCTTTATTTGATGGAGTGAGTGAATTCACCGACTAGAAATAAAACATATGTATAATGCAAAAAAATGAGTATCATATTTCTAATATGAGTAATTTTAGTGTTAAGACAAATATACCCTTACCCAAGCCCCAAGCCCCAAACACTTTCTTTAATAACTACTCCGTAAAATATAAACCAAATAACATAAGGTAGTTTATAATACAAATTTAAAAAAACAAAAAAACAAAAATATATAATAAAAATTAATAAATCCAAAAACATTATTAAAAAAAACATTAAAAAAACATGCAGGCCTCTGTCGGTGCCTCAACAACCTCCTAGCACTGCCATCTTCGACTATCGGGAAAAATGCCAACATTTGTTAGAAATGACATCTTGATGACAGTTTTCGAGAAAATTTGGCATTTTCAAATATTAAAAATGACATCTTTATGTTATTTCTAATGAAAAATGATTTTTTTTTTACATAAAATGGCATTTTTTCGCCAATCGGAGCTAACATTGCTGGGTGGTGGCCGATGTTGCGAGAAAGACCTCCATATTAAATATATATATATATATATTTTTTAATGTATTTTATCTATTTTTTTTTATCTATTTTTAATGTTTTTCATTTTTTTAAAAAAATATTTTTTAAAATTTTACTCCCTCCGTTCTCTAATAGATGGGGAGTATAGCCTTTGTCACAAGATTTAAGAAGGAATTAATAGGGGTAGGATAAAAGGTATAGTGGGTTGTGTGTAAAGGTAAAAGTAGGAAAGAGAATGAAAAAGTAGGAAAGAGAATAAGGGTAAATGAGTATATTTATCGGAAAAACTTATCAAAAGTGGAATGGAGACAACTAATAGAGAACATCCCAAAATGGAAAGAGGACCAAGTATTAGAGAACGGAGGGAGTATTATTTTAATGACAAAAGATTAGAGAATTGATAGCTTTGGAGGTCACCGGGAGGTTCACCAATGAAGATTTGATGACAAAAGAGCTCTAAGATTGACTACGGGATCAAAAGAAAACAAATAGATTTTTTAAAAATATTTTAGAATGTTTTATATTTTAATATAATCAAATAAGTCTTATTTTAAAATTAATTAGATTATATATAATAAAGGTAGGGAATTAATATGTATTCATATTGAGAGAAGTTTTAAGTTTTATACCAATTTATGCCATTATCCTTATGTTTACTTCTATATTGAAGAATTCCTATTGATCAATTTATAAGTTTGTGAGACCCGATCACCCTATAATGAGCGGAGTCGATCAGAATACTCGCACCTACTTATACATCCCACTATTATTTTAATCTAACCTAAAATCAAGTACTCCGTAGTCATGTGAAATTAAGGGTCCTAGGATATTAAGTACTTCAAAGGAGGTGAAATCTTTTACGCTTAGTGTAGGACTCTGCGGCTATTTTTTTACTCAAAAATTTTCATTAATGCATACACGATGACATTTGAATATATTACATTCTAAGTTTAGACAATAAAAAAATAACTTTGACTTTATAATTGAAGTTCTCTAAAAAAGGTATTGATACATTAAAGCGTAGAAAATGACAAATCAAAGAAAAATTATTTGAGAATAAATAAAAACATATACGGAGTAACACTTTATCAAATTATTTGACGATAAAGTGTTTAAAAGGTACATATGCATCAACACTTTTTAAATAATTTCTGCCTTGTTTAACCGCATGAATCTTATCGAAATAAAGAATTTCTTTTTGAATTGTAACTTCCAATTACCAAGGAGGATGTTCGTGAATCACACGGAGTTCTCTTAATGTTACAATAATATGTATGAGATAATTTATTTTTAGATTAATATTCTATTGATAATTCATATAGATAGTGCATATTATATTTGTATTAATACAATAAAAATTAAATTATATATGCCTTGGTGCAAAAATAAGTAAAATTTTAATATATGTGCAATAAATTATTTTTAGAAAGTAAGAAGTAAATGAATTATGTAATTTAATGTCAACAAACATTAATATTTTAGTTTCACTTCACATTATCTAAAAATTGTTTAACTAGTGTATCTGGTGTTTAATATAGTTTGATATTTTACAAAATCAAGTACTAAATATCTAATAAAGATAATTAAACATTACAAAATTAGGAATTTTTATATAATAAATATCCTAAGTCTTAACCAATAAGTTGTTCATTTCTTAGCATTATTGAAATAATGCTAAATTATTTTAGATTTTTCTTCTTTTAAATCTTTCATTTAGGTATTTAGAAGTTTTGTTGAGCGGTAACATCCGATGATGTAGACATCAATTTGGACATTTGGTAAAAATGAAGGAATTATATACTACCTTCGTCCCACAATGAACTTCACAGTTTGACCTACACACATATTAATGAAGTAAATTTACCATGTGGTAAATTTTACTATTTTGACACTGTTTCGAAACTGTTTGATACTGTTTAACATTGTTTTGCACTGTTTGACACTGTTTTGATGTAGATTAATTTTCCATTTAAGAAAATCAGAACTTGTTTCTGGGACAATATTTTAAAAAAATACGCAACAATGGGGTAGTGCAAAAATTCTCGCATCTTTTACCTGTATACTGAATTTTTCATCAGACCACATCCACATGTTTGGATTACCAATACGAGTAGTAATTTTCAATCTTTTTCTCCCCGTTTTCAACTCCTATGGTCAAATATAA